GTGGGTGTGTGGGTGGGTGGGTAGGTGTGCGTGTGTGTGTGTGTGTGTCTGGGTGGGTGGGGTGAGTGCGTGCGATGGGTGTGTAAACACGGCCATCCCGTAAAGAACAGGAAACAAAGGGGACGTAAGTCTGTCATACCGCAGATAGTTAGCAGCAGTTTATAACATAGGTGGTGTGATTCAGCCATCAACTCGACAAGGAGGATGTATGGGAGATTTTTTAAGTATTAGGAGGGAGCAGTTAAGATGTTAGAGTAAGAAATTAGAATTAGAAATGGTTGTTTGATGGCAGCCGTAGTGGGGGTGCACGCCCTGAAGCGCACTTTTCGCCGCTTAGCACGCATAGCGGCTCATCAGAGGGCTAACATTTGGCTCCCTGTTAGTGGTTGACGGGTTATATTAGCATGTCCAACGGGAGTAGACACAACTTTTAGGAGCATACCTGAAGCTGGGAGATTTGTGGAGCAGATGCGTCGTTAGCTGCTGCCATCACTTGCAAATTCCACCTGTAACAGCTCACACGAGTAGCAGAAGCTTCTGAGTCGTACGTTAGGAGCCAGGTAGTGCCAGATTCGTCAGCATAGTGGGCGGTGTTGGGCAGACGTGGGTGTGCCATTGTGAATGGGGGCTTGCAATCTGTGCAGGGCTTTTTAGGGGGGGTGTGGGAGCAATTCGGAAGGGGTTCTTTCTTTGGTATAGTTTTTAGTAAGGGTGATGGTGGGTGTGCATCTGTTTGTGCCTGGTGGACGTAGCTCATGCGGGCGTGCAGTGTTTGTCCGCTGTGCGTCTTTGTGCGGGCTATGCTATGTATCGGCGGGTTTCCAAGAGTCTGTTTACTAGCTTTTGCTTTACGTATTGTCTGTATGGGCTATGGCTCGGAGGTTGTGAGTTTGTCCGTATCGCAGAGGTAAGCATGTTTGTCGTCTGCCCGAGGTGGTGTAGCTCGGGCAATGTTTGTCGTGAAGGATGGAGGTGAGGTTATGGAGCGAGATATGCCTTTTCAATTTTGTATGTTTGTTCAATCTCAGGAGGCCAGTTCTTTG